CATCAAACGTTCTCCAACGGGGTATCCTGTGCACAGTTTTTTATGGTAAATAGAAGGGAAGTTGGATACGCTATTACGGGGATTTTACAGGCATTAGCTCGGTAGCCGCCAATGCTAGATTACCCCACTTCAACCTACTCCAACCAGCACTAATTCACATCACCCCCACCCGCGGCAACTTCACGTATTGATTGGTTGAAAGCAAAGAATTTAATTTTAATCAATCACATAATTATATCAGTGACGTTGCCGTGAAAGCTAGATTATCCCAAGTCAAAACACAACCAGCACTAATTCACATCACACGCACCCCCACCCGTGCGAAGCCGGGTCACGTTCACTAGTAGCTCTATAAAACAGTACACTCGTTGTAACACCCAAAACACAGAATTTCAATGCTCCGACACATACATACTTTAAGATAAAAAAGTTATCCTAACTGTAAATTGGTTATCAAAATGTAAGTACAAATGCTTAGAAACTAACAAATTTACATGTGAAGTTCTTCGTCTAAATCGATTATGAAGTGAAAGCGGTTCGTACCGGACTCAAAAAGTTATGTTCATCTATCTACTCCGACGCCTCCACAAAAGTTATCTTAAATTGGTTTTTTACGTTAGCAGTATTATTGAGAAATTCGTCAATGTTATTGGTGTAAAATCCAGATCATGTCGTGAATAAAGTACTGTGATTGGGTGAAATCTTGGCCAAACAGAGTCGTGTTGAAATGCAAAATGGCTAGGTTTCGCTGGAGTAAACGCCATATCGCTGGCTAAAGCCGCGTGCCACCAGGAGGGCCTTGAATTTTTCGATCTCGCCAGTCGAGTTGAATTGATACAGAATACCCACTTGTGTCGACAATGTTGGTCCCGCCGGGTGGTCGGTCCACCAGCCGTTGGCACTTTAGCTCTGGTTTCGAGTTCTCGGTACTTTGACCCCCACGTGAGAGTCAACGTTCGACGCCGCAAATTATCTCACTCGTCTAAAAAGAGGGCACACCCTTTCGCGTTGAGTTCAATAAAATGGTAATTTTATGTATATTATGTAATGGAACTTCATTTTACTATACCAAATATTGCTTTGGAATCTTTCAAATATAAATCTGACCGCTATCAAACCTGCCGATGGGGCAAAAAGTCCGGGGTGGTCCTATCTAAGAATTATCCGTATAAATATGAGCTATAACTCCGACCGGTGGAGTTGCTCTGAACAGAAGAATAAAGGGTATGAAAGGACTTACTGTTCGCCATTTTTGTCTTGCGAAGGTGTAGTTGAATACTGTTTGTTGAAGTGTTTGACCACTCGATGCCTACTAACATTATGATAATGATTGATGTCGTCCAGGGTCTATGGTGCTAAACTCTGGACGACATCAGCCATTTTGCATTTGTTTGTTGAAGTGTTTGGCCACTCGATGCCTACTAACGTTATGATAATGTTGATGTCGTCCAGAGTCTGTGGTACTAAACTCTGGACGACAACAGTCACCCGTGATCCGACAGGCCACTGTTTGACTGATCATGATCATGGTCTGTCTCATGAAGGTGCCATTGCTCCATGCGGATGTACAAGCGGCTTACGCCAAGGCCGACATCGACACGACCATCTACATGGCAATCCCACCGATGGTGGAAGGCGACCCCGCACATCACAAGCTACTCAACGGCTTGTACGGTCTGAAGCAGTTCGGACGGCTGTGGCACGAAGTCAACGACAAGACCCTCCTTGATCTCAGCCTCCAGCGCAGCTGTCTTGATCCATGCCTTTCCTTCCGACGCTACCAATGAAAGCTCACGAAGTGTGGACTCTATGTTGACGACCTCATCATGTTCTCCCAAGATAGACAACAGTAATCAAGACACGGTTTTGTCGGCATGAAAGATGAAGTACGACATCAAGAGTCTCGGAGCCGTCTCCCCCTGACATTGGACCAGCCCAAATGAACACCACAGAATAGGCGTAAAGCGTATTCTACGTTACCTCGGGGGCACGCGCGACTACGACTTGCTCATCATGCCAGAGAACGATGGCGGCGCACCAGACAAGATCTTCTGCGATGCCGATTGGACTGGGGCAATCGACCAGTTAAGCCCCTGGTCACTAATTTTAATCCATTCAGCACATCCATCGGGATAACGTCGCGCCACGTCAGCTGGCGGCATGTTTCGACCACACCATGATTCCATGATGTTCACAAAACTATGCAACTCAACTACAAAAGTACATTAAATTGCTAGTTAAGATAGTGCTTGCGAATCGCAATCACAAAGCCCTTAAAAACATCTTACTATCGCCTTTCTTGGGAAAAAACCAAGAGCGCCATAAATACTCGTCAAGGTATCCAGGCAGGTGGTCGCGGTGGGCGCCTCGCATCGCCTTGAGATACTGTTTCACGCGCACTTCCCAAACGCGTTCAATTGATTGGGTGTTTGCGCCGCTGATAGGATCGACGAAGTTTTCAGAGTGATTCACCCAGGCATGGGTGTAGTTCATTCCACGAAGAAGTGGATTGGTCTCAAGCGTGTGGCGTTCATTGGTGGACACGTACGAGCCAAACTTGTCTGACATGATCTTGGTTCTAGGCTTGATGTGCTTCGAGATCAACGCGGACAAGGTTGGTTTCGTGCGGTCGCCATACGTCAAGAGACCAAACCACTTCTTCGTGGAACGATCCACCCCCCCAAAAGCCAACAATCGGGGTGCTGCGTGCCGCGGCTGTACTTCGACTTTTTCTTGAGCGAAGTCTCATCGATCTCAACAATTGACCATACGCCGCCAACCTAACAAAGACAGTTTTATATGTAAAAGTTATAACAAAAATAGAGCTCATCGATGTAACATGTACCTTCATTTCGCACGACAGCATTTCTTTCGAGCACACGTCACGACAAAAGTTGAACCAGTCGCCGGTAGTCGTGGGCGACACTTCTTGTTCTTGCGTCACAGTCGAAACGGCCTTGCGGGAGGCCCACTCGAACATGAGGCGAACCAGCTTTGACAGCGGCAACCGCGACTTCGAGAAGGAGTCCACGCGGACACTTCTCTCGATGTCACCGCACGACGTTCGACGGCAGCGCCAGAGCTTGGACGCCTTGCCAAGGGTCATGGCCTTGTCGCATCGCGGCCACAGCATGTTGGCCTTGAGGAGGCCGTCCTTGAGGCACCACACGGTGGTGCTGTCTTCATCGCTTGTGACCTTCATGACTTCTTGATAGGAGAAGTCATGAATGTCCGAGAGGTCGTAGAAGGCTTGCATCATGCTTGGTGGGAGTCAAATTTCATAATGAGGGGGTTGTGAAGTCTTTTGCATCCATTTTTACATTTTCCGGATCTCTTTGGCGCCTAAAACGGAACCTGTACTGTAGTTGTGTTGCATAGTTTTGTGAACATCATGGTGTGATCAAAACGTGCCGCCAGCTGACGTGGCGCGACGTTATCCGGATGGATGTGCAGAATGGATTAAAACTAGTGACTGGGGGCTTAACTGATAGAGTGCCTGGACTGGTGATCGAGGCCCTCCCAAATCTACCACTGGCAGCATCCTCAAGTTGTTCGATCGCCTGGGCCTCCAAAAAGCAGTCCGTAATGGCCTTGTCCACGATAGAAACCGAGTACCACTCCGTCCCAAATCACTGACACGTTAAATGTTTTATGACCAATCATTGGATTTGTGTGAAATTCGTACCAATGAGAAGAGCAGAATCTTGGTTAGAAGAGCATCTCCACCGCTGCCCAGTAAATCGACCAACCAGTATCCGCATAATGTCCGGATAGACTGGGTCCAGTACTTTACTGGCCAGTAAATTTACATGAATTCGCACCGCACAGATCAGTTCATTCAGCAATTCAGCACCCTGAGATGCACTGCGACTCCAGTGAGTCCGACAGTGAAAGCGATAGCGACATCATTGATGCTGCCATACAAATGGTGTTCGCTCCTCAACCTCCTGGCATGCACGGTGGTTCTCGAACAGGAAAGCAGCGGAACGTTGACCGCCACAGCGCATACTTTGCGCAGCTACTCATGCAAGACCAGCTGCACGTACTCCAGCGCCATGGTTAGGCGCAGATTTCGAATGTCTCGTGATCTATTCCTGCATGTCATGAACATCGTTGCAGCTCATGACCCCTACTTTACTCAGCGCCGTGATGCAGTCGGTAATAGTTTATATTTGGTATTCACACGTTTACGAACATATTTTCATTTATAATAGGAAAGCTTGGACTCACATCGCATCAACGTGTTGCAGCTTGCATTCGACACCTAGCAACAGGCACTGCACTAGATGACCTGGACGATCGGTAATTTCATAGCAAGCTGGCTGTTACTCGAAAAATATTCATGTAGTTATCGTATTGGGGAGTCAACCATGCGTGAAAGCCTGCGAAGATTCTGCAAGGCTGTACAGTGCGAGTTACTTGCGGAGCCCCACGGAGTGACATGAGAGCACTGCTGGCACATAGTGAAAGTGTGGGCTGGCCTGGAATGCTTGACAGTATTGACTGCTGCCATTTGGCCTGGAAGAATTGCCCGAAAGCTTGGGCTGGTCAGTTCCAAGGCAAAAGTGGAGAGCCCACTGTTGTGCTCGAGGCTGTGTCGGACACGTGGGGCCGCATTTGGCACTGTTTCTTTGGGATGCCAGGGGCAAATAATGACATCAATGTCTTGGACAATTCTTCACTTTTATTTGACGCCATTCATGGTACAACAATTATTGGAATGCACCATATCTAAAATAAATCCACGAAATAATTTTGTAATTAGGAACAACACCACGCGTTGAGTTTTCAGTAAATGGCCAAACGTACGACCGCCGATACTGGCTGGCGGACGGGATTTATTCTAAATACAGCGTCTTTGTGAAGACAATCAGCAATCCGTCAACGACAAAAGAAGCGCACTTTAGCAAGGCACAAGAGTCACGTCGTAAAGACGTAGAGCGGATGTTTGGCATGCTGCAAGCTCGCTGGCACATTCTCACGAATCCCTGCCGACGCTGGAGCAAGGATGCAATGGAGGATGTCGTCCTGACATGCTGTATACTCCACAACATGATCATCGAATCAGAGATGGATCAACATGAAGTCATGGCGATGCCGCACTCCGAGTGGGCTATAAACTCTCCACCTCCCACACGTGCATCCGGAAATGTTGCACATGCCGAGCGCCTCCGCGGTGCGTTTGCGTCTGTCATCGATTCAACTGTGCACCAACGTCTCCAAAACGATTTTAGTGGAACACCAGTGGCGTATTCGGCTTCATAATTCAGAAAAGTAAATCATTTCACAGAATGCTAATAATTTGGGGGAAAGAAATATAATGAAACCAGTCGCAATCCTTAGCAATTAAATATAATTACCAGCGCTTGTTTCGTCATCTGAATCGACCGTTGGCGACGGATGCAGTATTGGACTCGGTTCATTTTGCGCCCGACGCAGTGCCACCAATTTTTGCCGTTTTGTTTCAATCTCGAGCTCGATGTTGAGCATTGCCGAACGACGCTTCGCTGCAAAAAATGCTGAAGCCTCAGCGTCGGAACTTCCGACGCCCAAAACAAAGTTAAGGTACTGAACATGTGCCGCTGCGCTCAGCGAGTCCTCTTCGTTCATTGGCGACATTGCCAAGAGAACCTTCTCGTACCCTCGGTGGGAATTATTGGGAAAGGTAGCGAACATAGCGACGTAGTGAGTCGAGCCGCTGGTCCATCCGTCATAGACGATTGCAAACGACTCGGGCAGCGTCTCGGATATCTTGCTTTCCATCCAGCGACACATGGCATGCTTCCATTTCATGAGTGGCTTCACGCTGATGGTCCCCAGAGTGGTAAATCGCCGGGCTATGTCGTTCTCACAGAATGAAAACGGCATCAGAGACGCCGTAATCCATGTCAGCCAGCCATGGACTGCTTGCACTGGCTTGGGGGTGGACGACGCGATTACACTTTGTTGGGTAGCTGGGTCCAAGGCGTCGAAGTGAACGAACTCGGGGTGCTCGCGTTCAATATGCGACATCAAATTGCTGTAGCCACTTCTATTTTGAGTCCGGTGTTTGCCGCACTTGCACACCCAAACGGAAATTCCTGGCGAGGTGCGTGTGAAATAGAACACTGCAAGGGGCTTGCCGCGGAGACGGTCGTGGTGCGTGGACATCAGAATTTGAATTGTTTTGATATTGAGCTGTTTATCGAGACTTTAATGACTGGTTCAGGACATTTCGAGGAAATGAATGGTAATGTGAATAATTCTGTGATAATGAATAATTGATTCATTTCTAGAGGCACCTCGCTAAACTTATTCGGACTTGGTCTCCAGCAAATAACTTATTCTCTCACCTAACCCAGTCAGAATAAATTATTCTATTTAAATAACTAAATAATTCGTGATAAAAATTACTTTTTCCCTACCTCTGGTCGGAAGCATCAATTCGAGCAGTGAACAGCTTCAATTGACCGCTGTCACGAGCAATAGCATTGCGTTCCACGTTCGCCTTGACCATTTCGGATTGGACCGAGACAATACTGTCAACATCTAAATAAATTGGAGATATTTCACTAATTTATAATTTTGAAAAAACACAACGTAAAAATACATGAACAGAAAAAATCAATTACATTTCCTGACATACCCTTCAATTTCGCCTTGGCCTTTTTGGATCCCAATGGCCGTACCGAGGCCATAGCCGAAACCGGTGCCAATGTCACCGAAGCTGGCTTTGAGCCAGCTTCCTGTGGCTCCATGGCAACGCTCCATTTCGGCGCGTCCTTAAGAATGAGCCAGCAATGGTGCAATCGGAATGCGCTCTTCTTCGAGCGCAACTTGTACAGCTCGAGAGCAGTCTATATATATAGAATTTGAATAATATGTTTTTCAATGACGGCAACACTTACCCGCATGTGGTCAATACCGTTTGTACCAGACGGAGGGTTGTGGACTGCCTTCTTGTACGCTCCACAAAAGAGCGAAACTTGCTTCTGGATAGTATCTCGCCAGTGTATCTGCAGGCTGCATACCGACCTCGCTCTATAGACTTTGACATCGAGATGTCAAAGTCTGCTACACTATTGAGGAATCGAACGTACTCGTGTTCTTTGTTGAAGATTTCAGCGACTTTGTCGTAGAAGTTGGATGACTTCTGGTCGTTCCCAACAATGGGGTCAAGTGACACTTGCAGCCAAGCATGGTACAACGTCTCATGCTCTGCAGGAAGGTAGTTCCTGCTCTTGCTCGTCATTCTTTGACTGCCATGATTTGGAACCATACTTTACATACCCGGACATATATGCGGATACTGGACTCCAGCAAGTCCAGTACAAAACACACAGATTGGTGAGGAATGTACTGGAATATTATCATATCAGTACTTTATTGGACCAGATTTCAGTAGCGGTGCCAAAATATTTCAGTAAATTGGCACACAGATATACTGATTTGCTGATATACTGGCCGCGGTGGAGATGCTCTATACGGTCATATAATTATCTTGCCATTCTTCCAGAAACTGTGTGTGTATTCTTCAAATAAAATTAGCCGCTCAACCCAATTTTTTCAAATGTTCACCGGATTTGAAGAA